TTTCTTTTCTTTCCTTTCCTTTCTTTTTCTCTCTCTCCCTCTTCCTTCCTTTTTTTTAAGATTTTTAAGTAATCTCTACACCCAACATAGGGCTCAAACTCACAGCCCCAAGATCAAGAGTCGCATGCTCCACTGACTGAGCCAGCCAGGCACCCCTCAATTTGATTTTTCTCAAGTGGAATATTGTTATACTAGACTTTTGTTGGGAGGGTAAGATATAAGATATTCGATATTTCTGTGATGATGAGATTTGTCCTCAGATAAAAGTATGCTTCTCACTGAAAATGACAAGAATATATAGAAACAGGGCCCTTAGATGTAGAAGGATCTGGGCTTCAACTCCACCTTATTAACCACTGACCTTGTAATGTTCTCTCTCCATCTCTGTTTTGTCATATAAAATTGGGAGAACAATGGTACTGCTTGGGCTTGTTATGAGGTTTAAATGAAGTAACGTACATATCTGACACTTGGAATTGGAAATCAACCTCCCAGGGAGGGAGGAAGTGGAAGAGAATGATAATGACAGTGGTGAAAGGCTCAGGGAGAATTGCGAGCTCCTGACTCACCCCTACAAAAGCAGCCATGGTTTATATACATATCTTCCTCAGCTTACAATGGGGTTATGTCCCAATAGACCCATCGTTAAGTTTCAAATATCCTAAAATGTATTTAGTACCCCTCACCTCCTGAACACCATAGCTTAGCCTAGCTGAACTGCAACATGCCCAGAACACTTACATTAGCCTACAGTTGGGCAAAATCATTGGACACAAAGCCTATTGCACAATGAAGTGTTGACTAGCTCAGGTAATTGATTGAATACTGCTGTCCATGTACCACTCGTTCACCCTCGTGATCGGTGGCTGACCGGGTGCTGCAGCTGCTGCCCGGCATCACGATGGAGGATCCACTGCGTAGCCCCAGCCCGGCAGAAGATCCAGATTCACAAGTCAGAGTATGGTTTCTACTCAATACACATCACTTTCGCACCATTTTAAAGTCGGAAAAGTGTAGTGGAACCATCGTTAAGTTGGGGACCTTCTGTACTGAACAGGGGACAGAGGTGATAGAAATAGTTAAGCATCAGGGCTTTTTCTGGGTTTTAGTTGTACAAACTCTCACTCTGGCTCACAAGGGAACTCTGGATCTTTTCCCAGTTCAGCTCCCACCCATCCCATCATTCAACTATCCCTCTGGCTCCCAAAGCAGAGGTATGTCAGTGGCACCTATGGACAGGGAAGGGATTGTTTCTGCCCTCAGAGGAGCTCATTTATAGCGGCTCAGACTGCTTCCATGTGGGCATGTAGCAAGAATCACCACAGAAACTGAGTAGCACAGACAAAACGGTGACAGAGCTGGGCTAAGGGCTGCAATGCTGCACTCAGATGGTTCCAGCAGACCAAAAAAAGATAGTCACCCACATCCAGCTCCGGTCATCCGTGCAAAGTAGGCCAAAGCTCCCCCTGCCCTTCAGTCCAGCTGTGGGTGATGGTGAAAACAAGGGTGAGAGAGAAACAACTCCCCCAACTCCGCCAGCTGCATATCAGTTACACTCTTTGTCTTTCACCTTCTCTCCCTTCTCTGCCTCTGCTTCTTGGTCAGACTCCAACTGGATCCATTTGGTGACTTAATGATGGTGCTGGTCAAGGTTGATCAAATAAACTCAATAGCAGTAGCTGATGTCTACTGAGTGCTGGTCACTTTGTACTCTCCCCGGCTCATGTCATTTCATCCTAACCAAAATCCTAGACAGCAGGTACCAATATCACAACCAGTGATTCTTGAAGAAGCAGTTTGCTCAAGGCCTTATGACTGCCAAATAGGGGACCAGGATTGAAACCCAAGGAGTGGGAATCCCCAGCCCCTCCTGTATTACCCTGCCTCCAAAGGGGTTTGGGGGCTTGGACATATGCTCTTTACCGCAGAGGTTTGGCTGTAACAACAGCCCTGAGGTTTCAGTGCTAGAATGGGATCTTGCCCTGTGTCTGGGTCATTTTCCCAAAGTTCTGGTAAGGACACTTTTTTCATCTTCGGAAGAATTTACGAAGATTTACATTTGTTTTTTGTTTGTTTTTTCTTTTTGTTGTTTTCTGAATTCCCAGGGCCATAAAAAGCCAGGCAGGTCAGGAAACACCTCCCTGCACCCCAGGTGGTGGGCAGCTTCTTGGGGCTCAGCTGGATGCATGAGAGCCCCCTCTGGCCTCCTCTCTCTGACCTGTCTATAGGAAAGGAGGTGCCAAAGGACATGACAAGGGCGCGTTGCACAACCCCTTGACTTTGCTCCCATGTCATTCCGGGCTGAAGCTCCTGGCCAAGTCAGCCAGATTCATTATCTGTATTGCAATTAATGATCATTTACATAGGGGAGGGCACTCAAATGTGAGCACTATAGCCACCTTTTAGCTATGCGTTTAGATGTGACAACAGCTTTATTTACACAGCCACGCTCAGCTACTTCCAAGTCCCAAGTTTAAACATTGCTTAAGCAACTTCACATTCTTGAATTAAGGACCAAATCTGCAAGGGCAGGTCCATCTCTAGATAGTATTTCAAAATCAGCAGAAGGCCAAAGTCCTGTAAGGAAAAATCTGTCCCACCCTCAGGGCAGATGAGTCAGCAAGTGTAGCCTCAGTGGTCATTCTGATGCAGGTGGTCTTCGGATCACACTTTTAAGCAACACTGTTTAAAAATGTAATGTCTAACTAACCTTGTGACAGATATTTCATTCCACTTTCCATTTCTTCTGAATTTATCTTCCAATTTATCTCAGCCCGGAAGGTAAATTCCTTATAGGCAGGGATTCTGTACCATTGTGCCTGCGTTGCTGGAAATACCTGCTGACCAGAGCTGAATACCCCCCAGGCCCTAGGAAGCCTCTCCATGCTGTTTTCAGTTCCCAAATTTCTGAAATCTCTCTGGGGAGGTCATGATCCTCTCTCTAGGACTCGAGTGCAAGCAACAATGTTCCTGTCTGCTCCCGTAATTAATGGAGCTGGGCAGCCAGCCCAAAGGATGAAGATGGCACATTCTCAATTGCTGTGCTCTAAGGTCACTAGCCAAGTTCTACTCCATTTCCTTGGGCTGGAACGGGCCAAGAAAAAAGTCAAGTACAGCAGAGTGAAGCCGTGGGAAGGCAGCCAAATCCCACTGGAGGGGGTAGGAGTTTACTTCACTACTCCCGCTCCAGGCCCAAATCCAGCATGGCACGCCATGCTCCTTCTGCACCTTGCAAATTAGGAAAAGGCTCTGTCATCTGTGGTTCTGTGTCCTCTTACAGAAGAGGAAACTAATGTTAAAAGAACACGTGCTAAAGGAGAACCTTTCCAGTCCCATGGCCAACAGGCCACTGTAATCTCATTCAAAGTGACCTTGGGATCAAAACTGGCAAAGCCAATCTGGAAGTCCAAATGAAGCTTTGCAGCGGATAGGTACCAACTCCACTAAGTGTGTAGAACATTCTGTTGCTGGCCGAAAAAAAGAAGTTTACAGTAAAATGCATAATATCCTAGTATTTGCAGGGCAGAGAGGGAAAGGAATATATGTAAGCATTTGCTGGCATCTGATGGAATATCCTTCAGAAAGGCCAGAAGAAACTGATTAATTACTGGTTTTCTTCCAGGAGATATCCTGGGGGGCAAGTGTGAGTGTCAGATATTTCATTGGTTTTTTGTACCTTCTGGTTTTTGAATGTGCATATATTACCTCATCAAATAAAATTACATTTTTAAAATTAGTTTTAAAATTTTTATTTAGCATATGCCCAGCACTAGGGTAGATGGCTGTTCTCAAGAACTGGATAGGGAGGAGAGGAAACAGATAATGAAATAAATCATTACCTTGCCTGATGGGGCCCGGGGTGTGGCACAGGGAGAGGCCAGTGGCCTCGCTGGGATGGAAAAGTGGAGAACCAGGTAAGATTTCCTCCAAGAACTTTCTGGGCCAAGTCAAAGAGTAAGACAAATAATTAGGACCACTTCTAATGCTGTAGCTCTCCTAGAAGCCTGAATTGTGATGAGTGTCCGGCCACAGAAAAACACAAGCACTGAAAGGACCCAACTCTGAACTATTCTATACCAGTCCCTCTGATGTGCGAAAAAAAAGGGCATAACAATGGAAAAATGACTGCAAATATCAGAGGCTATTATATTCTGCTTCCTTCCACCCACCTGGCCTCACTTTCCACTACACTCACCCAACACACCAGAGTAGCAAAGTTTGATAAAGGGAACTAAAAGAGCTGCCGTTTACAAAGTGCTTAGAAGAGCGCCTGTCACAAAGTGCTTGTATAAATGTTAAAAGTCAAATAAAGCCTAGCGGAGATGCGAAGCTTCGCAAATACCCCTCCAGAGAATTCCCAACGCCCCTGGACTACTCCGGGAGCCGGGCCTGTTGGAACTTGGATTTTCTTATCTACATAACCTTCCTAAGATACTGGACGTATCAGAAGCGGTGGGCGAGACCCGCACTTGGAAAGGCAGAGCCGGTCCCGTCCATCACCTGGGTGGCAAGAGCCCTTTAGCCCCTCTCTGCTTCGGTTTCCTAATACCGAAACTACGGCCAAAATGCTCGAGTCTCCACCGATTCCTCGACCCAGGCGATCCGCCCAGGAGAATGGAGAATGCTCTTAGAATGGTGCGCAAAAACACCCGGGCGTGGCGAGCAGGTGGCCTCCGTGCGCCCGCCGCGCGGTGACGAGAGCGCAGACAGGTGCCCGCGGACGCGCAGTACCCTCTCGCCGTGCTGCCCTCCGCGGGCACGCGGGCCCAGGGCCTCCCGGGCCAGTGTCTCGGCGCGGCCTCCCCGGGTGCGCGGTGCCC